TTACCTCGATTTTCAATGTACAATTTGAGATCTTCGTTGTTTTTTTTTGTATTTTATTGCCGTAGTTGATTTATTTTGTATGTGTTATGCTAAATTTTTTCTTGATGGTCCTGTTTTTTCCCTATCTATTCGGTTTGGATTTGTTTCGCGTGACCATGTCGCGTCGGTAATAAATTTCATTTTACTTATTATTTTTGGACCCACAAAACTCTTCGTTTCATTAATTCTCTTCTCGATTGTGTCTCACGTCTCAAAACATAATAGACCGCCATAGTGTAACGCAACGTAGGAGTCCTAGACGACTGCAATCGAGATTTAAAACGCGTACCATATTGACATAAAAGTATAGGGTAAATCGAAATTGCAGTGCCGTACCTACTGGAGACCCCTAAGAACATCACAAGACTAAGATAATATTCAATTTAAACGCCTTTAAACCGTTCTACCTTTTAAAATACCAATAAGTGTCTGCTCCTATCACTAAAATTTTACTTGCTATTCCACCACTAACATTTTCGTACCTGGCTGCCATTATCCCCCTCGGATTCTAATGCCCGGTTTCACAAACGATGATTAAAAATATTAGAATGATAGCCACCTTTGTTTATACTTTCAGATATTCCCCATTCTAATATTTTTAATCACTGATTAACCTTAATCGTCGTTTGTGAAACCCGACATAAGTAGCTCTTCACCAATATTTTCTTTAAATCACGTCGTCCATAATTTACCTTGTTATTGTTTATTTGCTTATTCTGCATCTCACCTAAATGCTACTCTCAGCACTTTATTATCATGCATTATTATTTATTTCGTGTTTAATAGATGATGTAACTTCGTCCTTAGATTCATTATCAGTGTCCTTTCTCTGTTCCAATTAATTCTACATCCCACCCAAGGTGCATTTTCCCTTCCTAAATTTATGTAGTATGTTTCAACTAGAACGTAATGGCACTTTGCATTACAAAAGGTGAACAGAATTGGGTTTATCTAAGAACCTTAACTTTACTGACAAAGAACATTCCGAAATAGATGTTTACCTTCATGGTAGACGATTAATGGGGAGGGGGCTTACACATAAACACATAAAGGCTGCCTCCTATGCATCCAAAATCTACAATGCAAGAAGAATCAACCCCTTAGAGAAGTTCTCAGAAATATTGCATTTTCCCATGGTAGGTAGCCCATGTACCTTCCTCTAACATTTTGAAGATATTCACAATGAAGTGCCCTTTTCCGATACTCCATTCTGCAGATACTTGCATTGAACCTTTTGACATCACAATTAGATATGTCTCATGCAGACGATTCATTTTGCCTTTATGAGTAATTTCCTCCGACAAACCGTTTTCGAGATATTCGCTCTTAAAGTTTTGACATCACTGATGGATAAATAAATTTCTTCCAAATGTCCCAATCGCCTTTTGCGAGTACCCTGGTCTGACAATGTGTTTTTCAGACATAAGAAATAATATCCAATCACGATAAGTGGCCTAGGAGGAGGACTATGGTTGTAAAAATAAGAAATATTAAAATTACCTACAGTTTCTCTTGTTAAATAATCCAAATAATCTCAACGCACACCGTACGCCGTACACAGGTTTCCGATAAAAAGGTGCACTTAACTCATCACAAAAGCTAACAGCTTCTGAACTTCGCTTTTCTTAAAACACAAAATCTGATCAAGTTGACTTTTTCCATAACCGCATTAAATTTTAGTTAACTTTCTGCCGCATAAAATTATTACAACGTCTTCAACTAATCAAATCTGGCGGACTGCCAGAATAAAAACTAGCGTAAAGAAACGTACACGTTTTCCAACCAGTCTCGTTCTTTTGTCGTCTCCAATATTTAAGGAACCGCCACCTTCACCATGAAATCCTTCTTCCAGCATTTGCAAATAAAGTGCCAATCACAATTAGATTAGATATTGCCGACTGAGAATGAACGCGTCCCCACTTACGCCGAAATAAAGGGCACGTCGTTGAACACCTGCATCCATCCATGATATCAAAAGTTGTTATCGCAAACACCTAAACCTTCTATAAAATATACGCAAACCTAAACAGATGTGTCTTACTGTAAAGAAGCACCCGTTTCTCGCCTTAACGTTTACTCGTTTTAGTGAACACTCGGTATCTAGAAGCGTTTTAAGTGTCGGGTTGAAAGTACTTGTGTTGGTTTTAGGAGTTGAACATAGAAGGTAGAGGTAATTGATTTAATTTATATAGTTGTGATTCAGCCGCCGCGCCGTCAAGATATTTTTTGTGGCGTCCGAAAGCTCTTGTAATTTAGAAAACGAGGGGAACTTAATATTTTAGAATTTCAGCTCCGTTAAGCCATTTATTAGCAGGCTCTTTTTAAGTAAAATTTAAAACAAGCATTAAACTGCAAGAGCATGCCGGTTTTGATAAGCGACCGACCAGAGGAATTCCGATTAACAATGAGCCTTACTGGACTACTGATATTAGAAATTTCAATCCGGCTAATTACAGTAGCTAAATAAATGTGTTGCAGTGAACAGCATCCGATTAAGTCGTGAGGGGTTTCAAAAGAAGCGTTCTGAATTAATTTGGATTAAGAGAGACCAATTACAGATTTTTAGGACGTTCCAGGCGGCACAATTAATTAACGAAGTTTAAATTTTTAATTTTTAACTCATATATTGCGACAATTAGTTAACCCGGCCATCTTTAATTATTAGCTCAATTAATGTCTCCACTAATTAAGCGCGCACAGAGCGCAGTAATACAATGGCCAAATCGAAAAAAAAATCATTTGAGCATATTGAATAATTATGGATGTGTAAGTAATGTGTAGATATAAGTATCAAAAATTTTTCCTACAGTATTAAAAACTGAAATGCAGAATGCAAGTACCTAAGGCCCAGCCTTAATTCATATTCTTTGCTTTTACTCACAATGGAACGAAATCATATCTATATCGATTTTCATTGACTTCTTTCTGAGCATTTTATGTAGATGAAATAGTTCAAAAAATGTCACCTTATACTTGAATTTAAAATGTTGTGTTAAAACCAACCGTCCAGCTCTACCTCTAATCCATCTTACTTGAATATTAATGACTTATTCTTTGTCGGCTAAGTAATTAGTGACAGATTAAATAAAAGGACGCTACTTAAGTCTTCTAGTTTCCTTAACTGCCTACGCATAAATAGGGGGAAATATTGGATTCAGATTCCTCTTCGACCATGCGGGATTAGGCTAATTACGTATTGTCATGCACAAACAGTTTATATAGGCGATAAAAAGTACAAAAAATTAGTAAGAATAGATATTTGTACATAGTTTGTTGAAAGAAACAAAATTGTAGAAACTTCATTTAACTCTTGAGACAAAGATCCAATGCATCTGACCTTTTCTCGTTTACATCATTTGTCCAAAAGACCCTAATATCAACGAAAACACGATGCATCACGATCACGATATCGTCACGCTGTCCTCTCGGACAGAAATAATAGACACATCTATACCCTCTTCAAGGACTTGTCTTTTACGAGGTCCCGGATTGAGCGCCGTTTACGCAATATAAATATTGTACCCCTAAGTATTTATTACATCAACCCTAAAGGTCATTATTTTTTCAAAAGATTCCTTCTGTAATCATTGTTGCTTGGGGGGAGTTTCGGTCCTTTTCATTTTGTGAGTTGTAATATTTCTAATATAGAGAACCGTGCTAGGATCAAAGTAAACTGGAAAATGCGGTTTGTGAAATGATGGGCTTATGTCCAACGGTAAAGTAAGTGGCACGCTCCGACGTCAGTAAAATATCGTTGTTAAATTGGCGGAAGCGATGTTTCGAAGCGGAATGAACGTTTCTTTCCATTTTCATAATTTTCCAACCGGCATAACAATGCGTTCTTAGAAAACAAGCTCGTCAAGATTACATATATTATAAAAGTACACAAATAGAGAACGTAAAAGACGATGAATTCGTTAAATTTGGGTTTATTTTAAGTTTATATACGGACTGGGACGGGTTTTATCGTTAAATCTTCAATCTGCATGCGAATTTTGGTTCATCCCAGTCATCACCACTTCCAACGCTCTCCAGATCCACCGCGAGATTACTGAGAATCATCTTAACTTCAATTCGAATCCATCCATCCTTCATTTATATCAACCGATTGAAAAACATCCAAAACAAGCTAATAGAGTTTCCTGATAACTCAGCGCCGGCATGCGGTGTGTATAAAAATGAAACCCTCATAAAATATGTATTATCACGGAGTAAAATCTCTGACGCACTAAAATATTCAGAGGAGCTTGGTAAGAGGCACACAAAAGTGGACAATGTTCGTTTTTCGAATACATTACTGATATTTATCGGGTTTATCCCCGATGTTATCCTTTCGGATGATAAGTGGATAGGGTTGGGAGTCTTTTCGGGCCTTTTGTGGTTGGCCTCATTTAGGCGATGATAGGTTGCAGAAGTAAGGAGCTGCAGTCGTCAACATATTCAGAATGTACAGTAGACTGTTCCTGCCGTAATCTGGAAACATCCCTTTTAAATGTGTTGAATATTTAATGCATCGCATCTAGAGTTCCGAGTGATTGAAAGCTGCCATAAGATGCCTCTTTCATTACCACGCATAGGAACTGCTTTTGCAAATAATTAAACATCACTATGAAACAAAGGCGCAATTTGTAACCGCAAAAAAGTTCAGGTCCTTTCCTCAAAGCCGATTTTATTTAAGGATTTGAGTAGTTTAATCCGATTGAAGAGGAGCGTGGTACGAAGGATAAGATTACGTCATATTAATGGATACCGTTCTGGTGCGAGATCGATTTTGCGAATCGCAAAGTAAATTTCCTCCTTTGCTTCGCGTCTATATATCACATTTAATTACAATGCGGTAATAAACAATTTCGGTTCCTTTTTCATGTTAAGTAGTCGTGTGAGTGGTTGTGCCGGCGCTTGCGTTCGCGTCGGGACGGAGCGCGAATTTCACGTGAATTGCTTTCAGTCCGACGCGGACTCCGGAGACATCAGAAGCACATCGCAGTTTCTCTGATGTAAAATAGCGCACGCGAAGAGCTTTGTCGTAAATTTTGCCGCATGACTCTATACTGTTCTTTGTCATAGTTCAAAGAATACTTTAGTATAACGCTCCTGAGGTACTGTAGCAGTTTTAAATGTTAGTTTATCAATAGTTGTGCACGAAAGCAATACGAACTGTTTAAAATGCCAGTTGAAGAAGAATTGTATTTAACCGGCACAACTGGTCGGACTCAGAGCATATATCAGCAACCCTCAACAGGAGAGAAGCACGTACTCTTTTACCCGACGAGTCCAGCACCCTCCGCTAACTCCGAAGAGCGTCGCAGTTGGTCTCAGGCATCTTCATCTGCTGCCGCTAATGTAAGTTGCTCAAACTTTTTAAAAATTACCCCATAAATATTTATCTTTATTTAATGAAATGCCAAAAGCTCCTCCTGATGGAAGAAACTCATATAACTTTTAAAATCGGACATTAGTGCAACATTAATTATCTTCGGACAGTTATATCTGAACCGCAGAAGCGCAAAAATAAATAATGACCATAAATGGCGTAAGGTGCGTTAATTTTTAAAATGCAATTAAAAGTTTTTGACGTTCTCACTCCAACGTGCGCGCACATATGCTACAAAATGTTTCACTTAATTTAGTTATTTTCACAGAATTCATCCAAAGTCAAAGCTGTCACAATTGTAATAGGTTTTTACATTCAATTTTATATATTAATCAAAAACGGAATCTCGCCTTTATTTTAAAATATTCAACTGCCGGTCAAAATATTACGAGTTCATTTTTCCAAAAACTCTAGCAACTTTTTTAACTGCGACGCAACTTTGGCGACTGTAAAGCTTTTCGGAGCTTTATGCTCAAATTGCGGTGGAATGCAATGAAGCGACGTTTCTCCTACCCTTGTAAAGAATTATATTTACTATATATGTAATATAATAACTGGGGCATTCAAGCTGAATGACGTACAGTATGCATTTCACTTACCTGTAGGAATAGAATTGGAATTTTTATGCAAATTGAATGCATTTATCAAACCTGATGTGCCGTACATTATTTTCTCCAACTGCAGCAACACGTTTTTATTCAAAGAGGGTGTATTATTTGATGTGCGCCTTAGTGTTAATGAAGGTAGATAAAAAGGACTCATTGCACAGTTGCATTTACGAAACTGCACAGTTAGGATCACGAATCCCAATACTTTTACCAGCATACAGAGTAGGGTCAATGTAGTTATCTTTGTACTGTACGTCACTGGAAAGCTCATTTCATGATTGTTCCTTAAGTAGTCCAGTATAATTAGGGTCGGACCTAGACGTGATTATTAGAAATCTGAAAACCGTCTTATATCTTCATCCGCTCATTTCTACTACCACAGTGTTCAACAACGACTAAGGAACATTAAATTCTGCATCGATTGACCTCTTCAACTGTAAAATGCGACGAACGTTACACACGATGCCTAATGAATGACACTATTGTTCATTATAGGCTAAAACCACAGCTTACTTAATATAAGCTGTGCTAAAACCCTCTCGTTTACGTTCAGTCGTAAAGTAAAGAACACATTGAAGAGCCCAATTCAGCAACGTCATGTATAAATGCTTCAATAGCAGCCGTAGCGAGAAATACAGCCCTCTCACTGAATATCCATAACTTTCTGTTTTTTTTTTATTTCTTCCAAAGTTACTAGGAAAGGACACGGAACAAATTTAAGCGACGAAATAGCAATTAATTTTATATTTTAATATAGCATGATGTGAATGTGGCAATATTTACGCCGCTGTATCTCAAAAAGTAATAAAGATGAAGTTTTGAGGTAGGTACAGTTTTTTTAATACAAAACTGGACAAGAAAAATGCTGGAAATTATAATTAAATTCCTAAGCGCCAGAGGGGGCCGAACACCCATTCAAAAAAATTGCAGTAGGTTGATATAATGAAAATGGTAATCTCGTAAAAATGAAGAACTCCGGAAACTAAATATATTTCTTTCCTTTGCGAAAAAAGGAGAGGAGGAAGGGTTAAACATGGTCATACAAATTTATTTTAACCTTATTTTTTACTTTGTGTATTTTCAAAACCTTGGTATGATTTAAAATTCGATACGGTATTTCGGTCGAATAAATTAATCTATGATTTATATAAAGACGAAAATCGCTTGGCCACACCCACAAATTGGTCCAATTTCGAGAATTTTAATTAAATCGCGTGCCAGATTTAATTAATTGATCAAAATCAAGACTAATTTCAAAGAAATCCGCCGACCTTATTTAAATGAACCAATTTTACTACAATTTGAAACAACTAATTAAATTAATTTAATTAACCGATCAAAAGAACTTACCTGAAGTTCGATCTGAACTATATAAGGCGTCCGACCCGATCATTTTGTAACACTCTGTAGACGTTTAAAGAATAGACGTAGTAAAACAGCTATATTAGGTGATACCGCAACAGTGTAGTATGCAAAAAGTATAAAAGTAAAAAATGAATTCTTATTTGCACTCCTTCAAAGTGGGAGCACCACTACATATCCAAGTAAACTACAACTAGTGTAAACCAGTCTTAATTCTGATATACAGTGTTTATTCATTTAGAAGTAGACATAGAGATTTCCTATGTCTACTTTTAAATAACAAAGCTCTTTTGAAAGACGCCTAATTATAGGCAACCAAAATAACACGCGCACGCATTCTGGACTGTCATTCTGGACTTTAATAAAAGCCACAGTAAATAGTATGCTTTTAGGTTATGATGAAGAGATATTAAATTCGGCCGCTATTTCCCTTAAGTTTCTTATGGGATTCTCTTTCAAAAAAATTAAAATGTTCAGTTTCATATCCTCCGTTAAAACTGAAGATTGTTTTCCACCAATTTTAAAGTAATCAACACAGAAAATAAATCTCTTACGCTCCTTAAACTGTTCTCCAGTTAAATACATCGCATACGAACGAAAATAAAAATACAGAAGCCAAAGTAACAATACTCAAATTAGTTAACGTGATATCCAGATCTTCATTTTTGTTTTAAGAAGTTATTTTGGTCGCATAACATTAGGCGTCCTTCGAAGGGTTTTATCGTTTAAACGTAATAGGGAAAACAGTACACACAAATCGCTATGTCTACTCCTAAATGAATATCACTGTATATTTTTAGTAACGGACGACCAAAAATGAGTTGCTGTCGAGTCGCCTTTGGAAGTTCCAAGTACGATTTCTCATGTAAACAAAAATTCCATAGGTGGCTCGACAGAAATTCATTTTTGATGGCATAGCATAGACAGAAAATTTAATAATAAATTAAGGTTTAAAAATCATATTATAAAGTCGTCAGGGGCTGCTAGGGGTCTGTGGTAAAAACGAGTGAACCACGACGAATGTTCGGTCCAACCCGTTGTCTTCCTAATAGTATCCAATGGTATGCCATTCCTTAGGGCTGCAGATGTGGAGGCATAAAACAGTCATGTCCACCTCCCGCTTTCGCTCAACGACTTAGCGACTGTTTTTTCGCTCGGTCAGGATTAAGTAATAGTTAATTAAGCTTGAGGCACACAGTCTTGGATTTTCTTCAAATAAAGGCAAATTCTCACCGATGTCCTCTGCAGTGATTAAGGTGAAAGCTGCTCTGTGGGAGTTTAGAGGTCTACTTCCTGTAGTTGAATCAGTTAAAGGCTGTGTCTAAAGCATTGTTCGGTATTCTTTTTCGTAGCGAAAGCTAGGCCAAAAGACAGGCGTAATTCGTAAAGTTGTCCGTGCCAAAAAAACCGAGGTATTCTCTATCATCCTAATGCACCGGAAGTCCAAAATATGCCTCTTTCAGGTCTAGAGTAGCCAAATAATAGCCCTTTTGAATAAATCTCCTGCATTTCGAGCATTCTTCATTTTGAAGTTTTGAGATACAAATTTAACTTTTTGAGTTTGAGAATTAAACTTTTTTTACCATTGGGTTTATACACTAGGAATATTTTGGAGACACACGAGACCTTTGATATGTATATGAAGTTGGTGTTCAACATACGTTATTGCGCTTGCCTGATGCTAAAAAGAGATTGGAGTAGTACGTTGAACGCTAATTTTATTTCAAAAGCTCCGAGGATCCTTCGCGAATAAACACATTGCCGTTTCCCTATGATGCGTTCTACTTGGGACACACTGTATACTATTCCATCATGAATTACTGGTATATACTTCGGTTGCAACTATTTTGTTAATAAGGCTATCGTTATTTGACGTTAGCTGTTTTACATGGAGGAGATTTTTTTTCAGTTCATTAGCTGTATTTAGTTATCTTTCATGAATCTCAAACTTTAAACTATGATTTCAACCAATACGTGCTATTCCTTTTTGTCTAATGTAGGTATACATACACAATGCTATGTATTAAGAAGTAGATATAGGGATTTACGTATATTATTTTTCCCTGTCTACTTTTAAATTTCAAAATCGCTTCTGAAGGGCGCCTAATTTTATGCAACTAAAATAACATGTGTGATGTATTCAACTGAAGACAACGTTGATATTGTCAATTGAGTTTAATTAATTTATTTATTTAAGCGCCCTTCAGAATATTGTTTTTCATTTAAAAGAGAAAAACAATACACGTAAATCCTTATGCCTACTTCTTAATTTTATTTATTTATTTACCCTCTCTTGTTCTGGGCCCTCAACAGGCTTGCGCCCAATTACAGAGTGACCCGCATAATGCTTTTTAGAGGTGCCTCTGCAGAAGGTCTTAAGTTGTTCTATACTACTCCGGTATTTACCTTACGAATTAGAAAAACTGCAGGAAAACCTAATTCGGAGTAGCCGGCAGAATGCCTCAACCCAGGTTCGAACACCCGACCTTCGGATTTATAACTCAACGCTCTACCATTGAGCCATAATGCCGGCACTGTATGTTTCGGTCATACAATTCTCATAACCATTATGTCCAAGCCTAAAGTTATTATTTCTAAAAATTATGTAAACTACAATACTTACTAAACGAAAAAGGTGGACGTGAACGTTTACAATAACGATGAAACTGACTAAGTTAAAGCTGATTATACATTTAACATATTTGTTAAAAGATAAGAACATCCACTTATGACTTCATTAAAACTTGTGGGAAACGTAAAATGTCTATTTTGCGAACAACACTGAATCCATTTGATTTACTCGAACGCTATTAAATACACTTTACATTTAAATGCGTTCGTATATTTCAACGACATATCAGCGATTTTAGTGCAACATCTCCATTCAAATACGCCTTTTTATATATCACCCTAAAGTTCGACCCCTACGTCCCTGAAATCCATTTTAAAGTCATTCTCGAATTTTTGAAACTTCCTTTCATGCTTTCCGTTCTAAAATA